AAGCATAAGGAAGGTCTTCCTTTCCCTATTTACAGTATTTTCTTTATACTGAAGTTTTATTATATATATGGGCGGGTTCATTTGGATTAAGGCAACGAAAGCAGTTGTATTTTTTTATTTTCCTTCAAATTTTTATATTACGTAGCGCATGTTCTAAGAAGAACAATCTTTTGATTTTAATGTCCTGACACATTTAGTTTCTGATAAACTTTTTTTAAAGAAACGGGGAAGAACGTCAAGGTTTTGACGATTGTCGTGTGTGGCGTTTTTTGGAATCACTGTCAATCTCAAAGTATTCAAAAGAGAGCGTCTATATTTTTTTATTGCGATATATATGCAAGTACGCAAAACTATATTATAACCACTATTTATTATCCGTCGCTGCAATTTTTGTAAAAATCCCCAAACATGCCTCCGCGAACAACTGTGACCTAAACTGCGGATTTTTTTTAGTCGATGATGTTTAGTATCGTTTTTAAAATAATACCACGTGTAGAACCTTTCATTTCCTTCCAAATTAAGCGAAAATTGTGTCTTTATTATGTACGAGTACTGAGAAATAAATTATGAAACAGTGAAGGTTTTCACTTTCTGTTCAATTTCAGCACGCTCTATATATAAAAAAAATATATATTTTTCTCACGTTGCGTTCTCACCACACCCTTCTTTTATCCAGAGTATATTCCGTTAGAGATATATGCACTGGTCTTGAGTTAGCCTCTAATTATGCTAAAAAAGAGCAAATGCAGATGGTGGGTTTATGGGTTATATTGGCGATTCTAGTGTGTGGCGTTTTTTAATCACTCTCAATCTTAAATTATCTAACAGAGAGCGTCTATATCTTTTTATTGTGATATATATGCAAGTAGGTAAAACTAAATTCCAACTACTGTTTATTATTCGTCGCTCTAATCTTTGTGAAAATCCCCAAACATGCCTCCGCGAACAACTGTGACCTAAACTGCGGATTTTGTTTTGAGTCGAATATGTTTAGTATTGCTTTTAAAATAATACCACGGGTAAAACCTTTCATTGCCTTCCACATTATGCAAATTTTGTGTCTTAATTATGCGCGAGTACTGATAAATACATTATGAAAAAGAGGTTTTCCCTTTCTTCAGTTTCAGCAGCTGTATGAAAAGAAACACCTTTGATTTTTTTTACCAGTTGATTGCAAAGTAAAATAAAAACTAAAAAAATAAAGAGTGGCAAAAATAAATAAAAATTATCCTGTTGTGTTATCAACATGAATTCCGCATTAAACATATAAATTTCGCATTTCAAAATTAAGGCTTCAAATAGGAAGTGTATTTTACTCTAATGTTTTAGAATATTATACTTTGACATTTCTAGCATAGTACTGATTATGTAGCGCATAGGGTGCCATGATTGGAGAGGCTTGAGACCTCTCCAATCATGGCACCGTCGGAAATTGTCTGAAAACACGCTTTCGGCAGTTGCGATTTTATAGATTTTTTAGACGTTTGGAATTGCAAACTTGTTAATATACGCCTAACGACATCAATGTATTTTATATGATTATTTATTAAATGTCCCTTAGATTCTTATAATAAAGAATAAAATATACAGCTATAATCCATAAACCCACCATCGGCATTTGCTCTTTTGTAGCATATTTAGAGGCTTAAAACTCAAAAATAGTGGATATACCTATAACAAAATGTATGCTGGCTAAAAGAAAGGAGTAAAAAAAAAACGCAACACGAGAAAAAACACTTTTTTTTTTTTTGATATACAGCGTGCTGCAATTTAACAGAAAGTCAAAACCTTATGTTTCATAATTTATTTCTCAGTACTCGTACATGATAAAGACACAAACTTTGCTTAATTTGGAAGGCAGTGAAAGGTTCTACACGTAGTATTATCTTCAGCGATACTAAACGTAGTCGACTCAAAGCAAAATCCGCAGTTTAGGTCACAGTTGTTCGCGGAGGCATGTTTGGGAATTTTTCCAAAACTTGGATAAACAAATAATAAATAGTAGTTATAATGTCATTTTACCTACTTGCATATATATCACAATAAAAATATAGACGCTCTTTTTTGAATACTTTGAGATTGAGAGTGATTCAAAAACACCACACACGACAATCATCAAAACCTCGTCGTTCTTTCCCGCTTCTTTGGGACGTTTTTTTAGAAACGAAACATGTCAGGACATTAAAATAAAAAAGGATTGTTCTTCTTTGACCATGCACCACGAAATATAAAAATTTAAAGCAAAATAAAAAATACTACTCCACCTCGTTGCCTGAATCCTAATGAAACCACCCATATACATACATGTAATGTTGTGGGCTTGTCACTTGATGGTGTTTTTGCACGGGCTAATGTTCAATGTACTCAGCTCTACAAGAAAGGGCGTAGTTTATAAAACCGATGAAAGCAAACTATAGTACAATAAAAAGATTAAGAAAAAAGAACAGATCAGCGGTGGCGCTGTCAGAGGACTCTGTGTTATGTGATAATCATTGTGTATTCGCACGGCAGACCTTTACCTCCGGAGAAAACCAAGTGCGTCATAGAAGCTGCAAGAAGGAAAGGCATCGAGAAGGAAGAAGTGGTGCAGAAAATCCGGGCGAGCTTTCGAACGACGGAGTCGCATCTATTGGTGACTCCAGCGAATACAACGCCGCGTAGCGGCAACGCCGAGAAGCTCGAGAGGGGGTCGTTTCAACTCTGTCGTCTGTTACCGCTGCTTGGTTCTCGTAGGCAGCATAGAAACAAAGATCGTTTCCAGTAATTATTTTTATGCTTCCGCCATGTCATTCCTACGCGCTGACTAGGTTTCTACCGTCGAAAAATCGCTTTGCTTTCATATGTAACACCGATTTTACGCTGCAGTGCAAGGAATTTATGGTGGTCCGCGTGCTGAACGACGAAGACGACCTCCTTTCGTCCGCCATTTTGCCTCACCAGCGCGCCCCGTATAGTTCGCTGAAGTCGCGATATCCTAAGCTGACAGAGTGATGGGAGCTACGCGTTCACCGAACCAATCGACAACCTTCCTTTCATCTCCCAACCCCGCTCTCTGCACGTAGATGTGGGAAGAAACGTGATCACGTGAGGAAAAAGATAGACCCACGACTGGTCCAACAGGCACCTTCTACCCACCGCATTGTCAGCGTAGGGCTGAACGGAGCTAAGTCCGCGGGTTCTTTCTTTTTCTCAGCGTGTTCGCGACCTTCGATTACGTTCAATCCCCTCCTCGGAGAAAAGCACTGTCGCGTGAATATAAGAAACGCAGGGCGTGGTCAGTCTCGATCATCTTAAAGACCAACACTAATTATGTTGATTAAAGACAGTGACTACCATCATGGTAACGATTAGAAGATAGATTCGACTTCAAAAAGTATTCAAATTGTACCCCACGAAGATGTTATGGAAAACAGAATGAACCAGATGAAAAACAACCCTATACTTATTTGTTTAATTAACCTGGTAACGAATATTCTGTAGCGTAAACTTCCATGATGCACCAGGCGGCTAAAAATTTATTTTTAAAATATTTGGAGCACTTCCCGCGTGAAATGTTCATTCCTCTAAGCGAAACTTAAGATTGTACTCTAACTATAAAATTGGCAATGTCGAATGAAACAAAATATCCTTTGCGTTTTTGTTGTTTTGGTCGGCTGTCTTGTCCGCACTTGTACTATTAAAAAATAATTGTCATTTCTGGGCGACATAGAAAACGTTTCAGTGCATAAGTCTTCTCACAGTAAAAAAAAAAATACTGGCATGTGACTGCAGTCTGTTTGTACTCTTTCACTGGTGATCCCGTAAGCGGATATTTAACGCTGCCGACCGCATCCGAGAATTGTGACAAAATATGGACTCGGTATTGAAATCATGATCGGGGAAATGCTTACCCACTCCAAAAGGGACATCATTATTAGTATCGATCTGTGCGGCGACGATATTGAGTAAAACTGGAAGCAGTGAAGTCCTCAGTGAAGACATGACCTACTTGTAAGAGAGACGTCAAACACCTCGCCTATCGCTCGACGGGCTATAGCTGCTTCTACGCCAGACTGTTGAAAGGCGCGCCGCGAGTTCGGTCGGAGGGAACACGGCAAGTGCGGGCCATTATTTGCTACTACGCAACCGGGAGACTTTCGGCGAAATTAGAAAGACTCCTGAAAAACGTTAAAACTAAAGCAAAACAAAAAATAGTAAAAGCGGAAGAAAATGTGGGCGCGATATTTCTTCACAATTGAGGCGTACTACAACGCGTACTTCCAGGAAGTTAAGAAAGTCAATTGTATACTTCTAGTGGTGTTGACTGAAAAGGAAAGATGGCTTTTCAAGAAAAGTAGGAAAACGAGAGAAATTGGGACTTTCTTAAATGCTTTGTCGAATTTCCGTTAAAATGTAATCTCATAAATATGTTAAACCGTGCTTTATTTAAAACTTAGAAACACTGGACCATATTGTACCACGAGATTCCTGTTTGTCTAAAGGTCTGTCGTATTTTTCCAACAAAACGTTATTTACGGACCGATGGCCCTTCCTTGGGAAAAAACAACAACAAACAAACAACAATAACACTAAGCAAGTAAACTTTTCCGTTTTTTACCGGATAAGAGCTCTTTTGTTCAATTTAGAGCATTCAAATAAAGTACGTGTTTGCTAGCATCTAGATTGATAGAATATTAATTATGGTTATTCTCCTTGAAGCGGTTTCTTTTATTTTTATTTTGTAATAAGTAAACCTTAAAGCACTACACGAGGACTCCCACTATCTATGAGGTAGATAAAATAAATGAGTATTTAATAGATAATCGATGTCCTATTGTCGCTGACAACTTAGGAAACGCAGTGAGGCTCCGAGTATGTTATTACAACTCGGAAAGATCGGATAACGAGACTGGGAATAATAATAATTACGTGCTTATGATACCTTCCTTGAATGTCATAGGTATTTTACTCAGACTGGTGTGACGTGTTTGTGACATAAAACCAGTTTCTTGAACCAAATAACAAAAGCAAAAGTCATTTTTTTATTCCGTTGTCTCGGAGGATTCACATGGACAATCATGAAACTTCATTTAGTATCATTCATTCATTTATTTAATAATTCGTGTATTCGACGCAAGTATATATGACTTACCAAGAAAATATTTCAGTGCTAACGGGATTGAAGTTCACGGTGTTCCCCGCGTATAACATAAAAAAGGTACTTTAATTATCGCCAATGTTCATGCAACGCTACAACTTTTGAAAGGCCCGCGCAGTCACATATATCTTCGGAATAAATAAGCATTGATCCAGAGTTCTCTTTTGCACGAGTATACAACGTGATCATGTTTTGTGGTCGGGGCAGTCCTTCCGTTGTATGTAAGGGCACTTGTAAAGCCTGCGTAGAAAGAGCGTTAACGAGACTGCTTGAAGGAATTATTTGGACCGAAACCTGTGAGGCCTCTATAGTGTGTCTCCATAAATAATCGATACAGCTGGCGTCCCGCCTTCTGTCATGCCTATCCGGAGCGGCCAGTTCCTTGAATGCAGTCCTAAAACAAAACAAAAGAACACGTTGAAATAGTGTTGTAGCTTTGATTATAAAATGTAGGCTCCTGTATTTACTGAAAACTCACGATAAAATCCAAATGTAATTTTTACAAAACCGATGGCAAAATTTATACAAGTATTGTCAATACTTCAACATTCAGAATAGTTTATTATAGGATAGTTTGTTCGCGAGAACCATTACCGAGTTAATTATGATCGATTAAGAGACTATATTATCGAATCGCTACCGTTGCGGCAGCATGCGATCAGGTTTCAAGCAACCAGAGTAAATGCATTCCAAATGTTTAGTGCCGTAATTTCAACGCTCTTTGCCCGCTGATAATTAGTGAAGTAAGCGCTTCATTACTCAGCCGAAATGCTGTACATTAAATGAAGCCAAAATCCCAACTCGTATTTGTAACCGAATTTCACCTTCTAGATACAAATGAAACTCAGCCAACTGAACAAACAGTTTTAAGGATAAAGACACAAACACAGCAATTCAGTACGCACTTTAAAATATAGGCTTTCTATGGAAAACGCGCGAAAAACTGATTGCAAAGGTATCTACATGGATCTTGCAAATAACTAAACTATGATCATATATTTGCCCTAAAAACGTGACCTACTCTTTGATCTATAATGTCGCATTGCCCTATGCCCTTTCCATTTCTTATACCCCTCATTTACGACACGATGATTGGTTCTCTGCTGAAATAAATAGATACCACGATGTTCATTTCGGGCACACGTTCTCTGATCCTGTTAAGTTATTCGTATCTTTGGCCTGAACATTCAAAACAACTTACAGCAAGTTTTTGCAGTTTCTGCTTCAGTCGCTGAGACATCTCTTGATCAAACATGGTATCCTGAAAGTTACATGGCAGCTATTGACATCGCCGAGAACGCCAACAAGAGATAAAATACAGTGTTTTCATTATCAATTTTAACAGAAACAAACATTTCGCTAAGACTAAGACGTTTTAAAAAAAAAAAAACTCCCACTCCCTCGAAGTATAAAATACTATGCGATCTACGAGTTTTTCCGCTCATAATAATCCAAGTGCCAGCTTCTTTAATCTGAGTGTCCCTGAATTTAATCCAAGTTGTCAACAATTCAATCCCAATGCAATTAATTTTAATTCTAGTCACTCCATTTAATCCGTCCATATCTCTGAATTAACTATGACCACTTTGTACTAACTCATATGTTACAACAGTTTTAGAGTTCTAAGTTGCTTGCAAGTCATGAATGACTTTTCACCATACATGCACTTGCGTGACTGGTTTTCTTGTGAATTTTGAGGGATTTCTTACACCGAATACTTAAGCGCCAGACTGAATGATTTTTTTTTGTCGGTTGTAGAATAGTAACAAAATATTTCAAGAGGCTTGACAGTGGAACCGTGCTTAAAAAATTTGTATTTCAATTAGGTGTATGCTTTCAATGGCATGAACATTTTCAACGCAAATCAAGATGCTGATTTTCGATTGCGTGTATTCCACACTCAAATATGTAAGTTACGTGTCCTCGGTTTGAAAGACCGGTACAATGTACTCAAAATGATTGCAGAGGCCGTGCAATCAACGCATTGAATTTTCTGCCTCTGCTATCGGTCTTCCTTTAAGGTGGTAGCTTCAGGCCGCGCAAGGACGGCTGCGCTATGCTCACTGAGGTAAGCTTTCACACCGTACTTAAACTTGGAAAACATCTCTTCAAATGGGTTGAAGAACAAACTGTATGGCGGTGAGTGCTTCAAAAAGTGCGCCTGAGACAAGGCGGCGTCTGCGGTTCGTCGGTGTGCGGAAGCATTATCAACAATAATGACCGCATGCATACTGGCCAGGAGCTGTTGCCATGATCTCCCTCGAAACTTCCCTCAGGAATTCGTTGGAAGTCAACCGGGACACTTTTTCCACACTTATCCGCAAGAGGTTCCCGTTAGCAGACATGGACGCAAGCATGTTGATATTGGGCCTCTGGTACCTGTAGTTCTCACGACGGCGTCCTTCCCCCGTTTTAACCTCCCGAACCTTCGACAACACCAAATATTAATGTTTGTCTCGTCCACGTAATATCGAAGTTGAAGCGGGCCGTCCCCCTGCAGGCACGAAGCGTATTATTTTCTTGCACTTTTTGCGTCATCGCGATTTCGGTCAACGGGCTGCAGAGAAAGTTGCTTTGTTTTGTAACCGTGTCCATCCAAAAGTCTGTTAATTGTAGATAGGCTGATTTGGATACCTGATCCAGTTGCATCAAACTCTTGTTTGAGTTGCTTCAGCGGGTGTTCATCCACCATAGCTGTCAGATCCTGCACAACATCGGAGTCGAATATCTTCTTTGAGCCTCCTCTGGGTTTCGACTCATCTCTGTCAGGCTTCGTAATTGACCGTGCAGTTTTCACGTTAATTCCTAGTGTTTCAGCAAGTTGCTTGATGTTAGTGCCTCGTCGCCAGCAGTCAAGCAGCCCCGCTCAATCTTAATCGGATACTTTTTGGGACTGTCTAGATAGGTTTGGATCGTTCCGAGGCCGACCTCGACACCTTGAACTCGACACCTTGCATTAGACAAACTAGCTCATTGTCAAGAGCGTTCACCAATGCGGGTGACGTGAGTGGAAATCGTCGAACCGCTCCAATCGTTTTTATCTGCCTCAAAGAGTTGAGAATCGGCGCCGTCTGCAACCAAGCGGGAGATCCCAGGTTATCGTCTGCAACTGCGGCACGGCGCAAGCATACCGCGAAGTGTTTGCAGACGATTTAAAGTAGCACAAAAAGCAAGTTAATGAAGCAGCGGCCCGGCTCAAACATACCGCAAAGTCTTCGCAGATGGTCGCCGTGGAATAGCAGACGACGTCCGTTGATGAAACTACAGTGGCTTAAAGCACTGTAATGAAACCATAGGGCAGCGCTTCTTGTGTCGTCTGCAAACACTTCGCGGTATGCTTGCGCCGTGCCGCGGTTGCAGACGATAACCTGGCATCCCCCCATGGGTGCAGACGGCGGCCGATTGTAAATTCACGAGAGAAAGAGTCACGCAACGCGCATCTCCAGTCTGCAAGCAACTTAGACCTCTAAAACGGTTGTAACATAGTGGTCATAGCTAATGCGCAGATATGAACGGATCAAATTGAATGACTCCTCAATTAAAATTAATGGCGTTGGGATTAAATTGTGGACAATTTGGATTAAATTCATTGACGCTTGGATGAAATTGGTGTACAGCTGAATGAAGTTCAGGGACACTCGGATTAAAAACGCTGGCACTTGGATTATTATAAGCGGGAAAACTTGTAGTTTATTATAGCCTTTCGCGAAAGGAAACATTTCTTACTCCTGTCGAAATAAAACTTGTTTGCAGCTATGAGCATTGGTTTACAACCGTCGACCGTCTAGTAAAGGTCACTGTCACCAATGTAAGCAGTGCCGCCTGATATTCAGTCATTTTCAGTTTGATCTACGCACATAATGTCGTCAAATGCAGCACGTCAAATATATACTATCTACTTCAATTATAATTGAAGTAAATAGTACATTTGACGTGCTCCGCCTCCACTAAATAATATTATGCTTATATTTAACATTATCAGCCAAAACACATTCAAATTCAGTCTTATGTAAATGCCAGTACAGGCACCTTATACAGTTTGCCCCCCCCCCCCCCCCTCCCCAAACTATTTACTAATCTTGAACAAAACCACATATTGATCGTGCATCGCATTACAGAAAAAAAGAAAGAAAAAAACATCAATACGCTTTTAGCAACCAGAAAGTGCGGCTCAATTTCAGAGGCGGCCTTCATAGCCTTCTAACAGGTCACGCAATTCTACGACCACGCCAATATTACATGAAGCAATTACTCTTTCAAGACGGCCACAAGACCTGCTATTGCGAAACAAAATCCTTCAGAAACTGACTCCTCTCAAGCAGTACTTGAATGCCTGAGTATTCACGCCTCCAAAACGCCTAAACGTAGCCAATACCAGTCTCCGTTTTTGCTGTATAAGTACCTCCATGTTGCTGGCGGACGTTGCACTGAAAAACTAAACCGATGATTTGGTCAGTACGGCCAAAGGTTCGAATGTGTAGTGACGTGCCGTCGCTGAGAATGGAAGTTTACGGATGCACTGTCTTGGCGTGAAAGCGAACCATGAAATCACGCTCGGCTTGAGAGCGAGTTAATATTCAACGAAATTCCCTATCAAGACCCTTTTCAAAAGTACTCGTCATCTGGCGGCTGCAGCGCCAATTATCCCAGTTCGCCATTGTTCGAGCACGCACTCCGAGCATGTGGACTGGACACGAGTACCTCGTCAGCGTTCGGCGTGAACTCGGTTCAACTCTTATTGGACACGAATGTGACGTCAGGGTTTGGCAAAGACCCGGATCCAAACGCACGCTTTGTGCCCAAGAAATGGCGATCCGAGAAAGGCTGCTTTATGGAGTTCCCAAAAGTGTCTATTCAATGTTTAATTAGAGCGTAGCAATAAGGGGCGTTTTTTTTTTTTTTTTTTCTTGGGCGACGTCTAACTTGAACAATCTTCGGAATTACATGGCAGTCTGTGCTCACGCGTCTTTTAAATTAGGTGCCACTCCGATTTGGCATCCGCTTAATATGCAAATGAAGTCCGCTTAATATGCAACTTACGATGGTGCTGAAAAATTTCTGCAGCACGTATTGGTCCTGCTGTCGGTCACTTTCCGGACGATTTCTGTCGTTGCGTGTTTGACCCTGCTGAAGAAAGGCACGACACTCTGTGCATGCTCACGGCTATTGTGTTGAAGGTTAAAAAACACCCGCCTGGAAGTGTTATTTCGTAAGTTTGCAGCATATTTGCGAAATTGCTGTTCACAATTTCTCGTGCTTGCAAACGTAAATTGTGCATTGACTAATAGAATCTGCTCAAATGTAGCGCTAGCGGTTGACACCAGATGTCATCGGAACTAACCACTATCTTATTCAAAAATCGAAAGCAATTTTTTTTAAGTCCGGAAAACGGCAGTTTGCGGAACCGACGAATACATGAAGATAAATGACATCTGCTTCCGGGAACGGGCCTAAATTTTCTAATTGAAGATTTCCAGAAATCGCTTGGGCATACCCACACTTGTGCAACGTTAGCTCTGTTGCTTTGCCCCATCTGCTACATGTAAAGTCGTTTTATGTTTTTTTTTTCTTTTTTTCAACAAAATATCTCCACGGAAATTTATATACATTTTTTACTGCCTTTTTATACGCATGCTCAACACAAATGTTGAACCCGATTGAAATCTCCACTCTTTTATAGACCGGGTCATTAAAGTGCCCGGTCTATATACTAGATTTTAACGTTCAAGGAACCTGCAGCTTGTATTTTTTAAAATGCTGTTTATCTTGACTTAAGTGAGAGAAAATGTGCCATTTTCTCTCTAAATACTGCGATTTTGCTTCCGCGTAATCGCAAAGGAAAAAACGAATCTTTTCCCGATCTGCAACCACGTGTGGCGGTCATCGGAACTACGGTGTGACGTCATTCGGAGTTTTCGCGGCGCCAGCTATGGGAAGTCACGAGAACAATTTCCTCTCCGTCGCCATCCTCCCCACCTTCCAGTGCGTCCCGCCTTTTGTCTCGATCGTTCGCCGCGACTTTCAACGATGCTATGCGACCGCAGTGCTCTATTGTAGCCTCATCAGACCTGGAATCGCAGAGGATGGGCTAAGGGCCCCGAAGACAGAAGAGAGAAAAAAAAAAATGTTTTTTCTACTCTTCATTCTATCGCTGACATAAAACCTTTCCCGCAATTAACTAAAACAAACGTTGCACCGGTCCTTTAATGAAATGCAAACGGCTGAGCCCACGACTTTCAATACATGCTGCGCCACCTGGGGGGCCCCTGGAAACTTATAAAAATTCACAGTAGAGCTCCCGTCTCTACTGCGCACCGAAAAGATGAGGGTTTTTGTTTGTTTATTCATACTGCTAACCTCTTTCGAGGTCGTAGCAGGAGTGGAAAACACATAGATACAAATATTTCACGGTGCACTCATTTACACAAAACGTTGCAAAAATCAGAATAGGTGGCTGCATTAAGGACATCGGGTGGCAGGTTGTTCCAGTCGATTACTGTTCTAGGAAAGGAGGAATATTTAAATGGATCATTTTTATAATTATATTGTTTAAGTGTCTTCTGATGGGAATATCTGGATACTCTAGGGCAAAAAAATTTCAATGTACTGATTCTTGTCTCTTGCCAGCTCATTGCTAACAATTAAATAAAGCAATTTCAGACGATTTTGTTTCCTTCTTTCCTGTAACGTTTGGAGTCCTGCTCTAGCACACAAGTTTGTGGAGGACACATAAGAAGAATACATACTAAAAACAAATCGCACTGCAAGTCTCTGAACCCTTTCTAAATTAACTATGTTACAAGTCGTGTGCGGGTCCCAGACACTGCTAGCGTACTCTAGAATTGGCCTAATAAACGTTTTATATAACAACAACTTAGTATCACTTGACCCATGTTTAAAATTCCTGCGAAAAAATCCAAGTTTATTTATCGCCCTTGCGATCATTTGGCCAATATGCATATTCCAACTCAAGTCAGACGTTATAGTGACACAGAGGTACTTATAAGAGGACACTCTAGGTAGATTTTCACTGCCGACTGCATAGTCAAAGTAAATAGCATTCTTTTTTTGAGTGACGGACATGCACACAGTTTTAGTAAGATTAAGTGATATTTGCCAATCTTTGCACCACATATGATTTTTTTCTAAAGAAGAACGTAGTATTTCATAGTCAGTGGAACTATAATTTCATGAAAAAGAATACAATCGTCTGCAAACAGTCGCAACTTGGCAGGGACTCCGGTCTGAATATCATTAATGAATATTAAAAACAATAATGGCCCTAGCACTGACCCCTGTGGGACACCCGAAGAGACATGAACAAATGAAGAGCGTGCGGTGTTCAACTGCACATATTGTCGCCCACAATATGTGCAGTTGTCGCCCACAATATGTGCAGGTGTTGTGAACGGCGCGCGATCCCTCAGATAATTTAGTCCATCACTCACTTTCCTTCAATATTAAGTTAGATGCCTTAATGAGGCTAAAACTCTGTACAAATCGGATACAAAATCCGGTTACTGGACAGGGTCATGAAATATTATAACACATTTTAGCTGCTATAGTTATAAGTCATGCACAAAAAAGAGAATGAATGCCTACCTGGTCTGCCATTACACTTGATTCTACTTTCTGAATCTGGAACAGAAAATTGTAAACCATTATTACATGAATAAAAAAAAGCCCCGAGAGCCAACCATTACATGTATGAATATGTCTTAAACCAGAAGTGCCTCCTATGATAATCATCTTGCTTCCGACGTTCCACGTATTGGGACTGAGAAAATCCAAGGAAGAAGCACTTTACGGGCGTCATATCATCGTACGCTCATGACCCGTCTCCTCTGAACGTATGAAACCCCCCACTCATACCGCAGCAGATGACCCTTCTTTACAAAACAAATACACGGTACACAAAACTAGGGTGGCCGTGATGCGAATCGTTCGGACTATCATAAAGTACAACCGAACATTGCCTTATCAGCCCCATGTTAAACGCGTCTGATTTACGGGCGACAATAACCGGAGAAATAGTGAGTATACGTGGGCCAGCTGATAGGGGTATCTAACATATTAGGCGCAAGAATTGCAAAAAGGACAAAAGCAAAAACCCGAGTGGTTTTATGCGTGCGTGCGTGCGTGCGTGCGTGCGTGCGTGCGTGCGTGCGTGCGTGTATGTTTATTTTCCTTGGCATTTGGTGTTTTAGTCGAAAGCTCAATACGATTTTTTTTCTTAATATACTCGTTTATTGATGGTCGTCCCCCCCCCCCCCTTTTTTTTCGAAAGGTCTTCAATCTACAAAAAAAACGTGTTTACTGCTACGTCCATACCGAGCAAAAATTGTTTATAATGTGAACTTACCGCAGCGATCTCCTCATTGGAAAACTCTTGTTGAGCCGTGCATTCATCTCCTGAAATACGGAAACATCAAGTTAGAGTTATATTATAGATGTGCTCTGCGATGCAGTCTCCTTGGCCCTACGAACTTCGCGAATCAAAAAGGATTAATCCAAGAATTGTTTACGCTGATATTCCTTGTTCTAAAGGACAAATAAACGGTCGAGCGAACAATTTTGTTTCTCCAAAATATTCTAAAAAGCAGTACTTCGGCAAATTCTCTCAATATTAAGCTAACACACGCATCGTCATTTCATAGCAGAAAGTGCAGCACACGCTGACTATAACGATAGGTCTCTCGAATCCAATTAGTATATTTTGCTGCGCCCTGCAAAAAAAAAAAAAAAAAAAAAAAACACGTTACAAATAATTAATTTAAAAAAAATCTCAAAAAGTAGCTTCTGACTTTTCTTTCTTAACCCTTTCATAAAACTGTACTTGACTACTGGAGACATACAAACCCTGACGTGGTTTTAGAACACAGAATAACAAAAATTTAATCCCAGAAAAAAATACTTTTTTTTTTTCTGTAAATGCTTTTTTTTTTTTTTTTAATGTTGCTTCTGAGCAGCATTCGGAATTTGCAGCATTACATTAAGTTAAACGACTGAAAGCAGGCACAGGTGCATTTCGAATTTCGCACAGTAGAGAAAGTTGTAACCGGATTTACAATATTTGCGCCTGCTTTTTCTTCTCGCGGTTTTGAGGCCACTAGTGCACGCCATAATAAATCACGTCCACTGCTTTTCTTTTTTTTTAATGAACGAATGATTTGTTTCGAAGATGCATATCAGCTCTCTGTTGCTAAGCGCAAGTGTCCTCGCAACAGAGATGCTAAATTTATTGAGGCGCTCGAAACACGGGGGAAAGAAACCTTTCTTGAGGTGTTGTCCCTGGGCAACGCTGGGCATTCGAGGATAAAGAATTGTGGTAACCAAGAAGGGATTGGAAGATTGGTGGAAAAGATCTAGGGAGGGGTGAAAATACAGATAAAAATAAGCAATGGGAACACTTTAAAAAGGGGGGGGGGAGGAGGGGGGAGCTGGGTTGGAACAAAAGTTAAAAAAGAAGGGATGACAAAATGTTAGACTAGGTGGCGCAAGCTGCTGCCCGTTACAAGCCGCAGCTTGGCCACCCAGGGGTGGCCAAGCTGTTGTGTGGCCAGGCTGCGGCTCTTCGCGTGTTAAAGGGGCCCTGCAATGACTTTTTGACTGGTTTTTAATTTGCACTGAACCTGAGCGTACTGAACGTAGTAACTTAATCAAAATTTTATTTTCTCAAATTTCGCTTTGTTTTAAAAGTTATAGGCAAATTAGAATTACAAAAACAAGCAAAAAATAACATCCTTCATGACGTCGTAGGTCCTGGCTTGAGTGGCCATGAACTAGAGCTTACCGAGCGCTCACCGCTGCCGCACTCCGTGTCGACTGCTCGAGAGGGCGCCGCTAAAGCACGTGTTGGATAGGCTGTATGAAGCGGGCGGCCAGGGCAGCTCGCATTGCAATTGCTGCGCGACTGAACACTAATTCGGCGTAACACTTTATTGGCCACAAACGACAGCAAACACGGGGTAAAGATCAGTTTAGAACGGGAGCCACTTCGGCGCTGATGGTCAAATCGCCAGCAGGGCCCGCGCCGAAGGCCTTCGGAACGCTCGGAACCGGTCGGATTCTCGAGCCGGTATACGACCGCAGCGCCGCCGCTTACATCCGGGACCTTTCTAGGCTCCTCGTTTGTCGTAGCCTCATCCCACTAGTGCTTTCTAGGGGTGTCGCGAACCGGCCGAGGTTCGAGTTCGACCAGGTTCGACTTTTTCGAACTTTTAGTGGAAATTTCGACGAACCTTGTATTGAGGTTCGACTCGTGTGCGCATGCGCGACAGGCTGACCAGTTGGCTTCGGATTGGATGGTGATGGCTAAGGGATGAATTAAGGGCACCGCTGATCGGTTATTGCAGTTAATACAGGACAAAAAAAAAATTAAGTTATTAACTTTTTCAGTAATTAGAGTTGGTTTCTTTTAATTGCAACTGTTCATAAACTGAAATAACCCTTTGCGTAAAAAAAATTCTCCAAACCTAGACATGCTTGTATCAAGGTCTGACCACACTGTCCATAAAGTCGAACCGGTCGAATCTGGTGAAAAGTTCGAAGGTTCGTCGAACCGGTTCGACCCAGCCGAACCCCAAAAGTTCGACCTAAAAATCCGGTTCGACAAAAGTTCGCGACACCCCTAGTGCTTTCTAGTATGCGCCGTTTTTTCCGCCGCTTGGTGGAGGGTATGTCGACGGGTCATTTCTTGTTTCCGTACTTTCTAAACTGCATTTGTTTTTTTTGTTTTTTCTGATATAAAATAGTGAACAAAAAGTACTTTCATACGTAATTGAAACGGTTCACGACACTTATATTTTGCGTCTCGACTAAAACGAAGCTTTTAGCGGCTCTGACCAGTAGTCAGCCCAGGACCTAAGACGTCACATTTTGCGCGCTTTCCGTGCCGCGGGTCGCCCTCGTCGGTGGAGGAGGTTTCCGCGTCGTCCGGTTAAAATATGACGCACTGATATTTAGTTACTCTCTCCGTGCCCGCTGGCTTGCCCGAACGCCAAGAGACGTAGAAACCGCAAAAAAGGTAGACGCTTAAATATGATTGCAGGGCCCCTTTAAAGTGCGGCTCGCGGCTCCCTCCCCTTTCCCCCTCCACTCCCCGCTTTCCCGCCTCCCTCCCGGTCACACGAGCACTTCACCAAAAAGAGTAAAGGAACGCGTTTTAAATTAAAAGACAGGTTGCGGTTTGCTAGTCTTGTGCTACTGCTACCTTACGTACGGTTGGACTGCTTTTGACTCGGATAGATTGTAAGTAGGTCGAGTTTCGTTTATTGCTCTAAACAAAAATGTTACCCACCCCTCTTCCCGCGGCTCTTGGAAGTTTCGTGGTTTTGTTGGCGGCTCTTAGGCCGGCTCAGCCTGGCCACCCCTGGTATAGTCGTTATTATCCATCCATCTATCCAAAACATACATTTGCGCCACCCGCAGACGCACGAATCATCCCCATGTCCTTTGTAAGACAGACGTTACTAACGTGGACAACATAAAATGACAAACTAGATTTTTTAAACAGAAAATCTGCCGTAAAGTGGAGATTTGGGCCAGTTGGTTCATTGCAAGCAAAAAGCGCCGAAAAAATACAGGGACACGGACGAAGGGAAACAGGACAAGGCGCTGTTTCCCTTCGTCTGTGTCCTGTTTCCCTTCGTCTGTGTCCCTGTATTTTTTCGGCGCTTTTTGTTTAGAAAATCTGCCGTATGTTTTAGTGAACGCTCCTGCCTTAGTGAACTGGTGCTCCTCGTTTTCAATTAAAACGGCTTCTTTGACACCAAATAAAACTTCAGAAAACTACAATAATATATTTCTAAAAAAAGAAAAACGCGAAAAAGTTGTAGTATGGAGTGCAAAAATAGCGCACAAAAAACGAAAAAAGAAAGGGAGACGCTTTTTTTTTTTTGAGCAATGCGGTAAAACAAAATTTTACACGTTTCTCAACATGAATTGCTTCATTGGGAAAGGGAGATGAATAATAATAAAATAAAACAACACGCATTTTTCCCTAAACCATCGCCACCCCAAAAATATCACAGGAAGAATACATTGCGTACTGAAGCTGATGCTTGCTCTCGAGGGCAAAGCAATAAAAAAAAAAAAAAAAAAAAAATCGATGAAGCGTGCATTGCGGTGTTTTGAACAAAAATCAATTTTGCTTTGTAGTCAGCGTGATAATCACCTTTCTTCATAAGTTCGTCCTGTTCGCTACTACCCATGGCTGGCTGCTGTCTATCGCGTTGTTCCTGGGGACGCTGTCTTCGTTCGGGTCTCCCAGTGGTCGCCGAAATAAAGAAGAAAAGCACCGCCAAGCCGAACAGCATCCCCATGACGAAAGCTTCACGGAGGGATTGAACAGTGAGACTCGCAGGATTCAGAAGCCGGCCCTTATAAAGAGAAGCGACAGGATCCGTGTCACAGACATACCCCTATTTGATCAACTGGCGATCGCGGTCCTCTTTGTGAGGGCCACAGCGCCGACAGACACAAGGGCGGGGGATCTTTCTGTGTCGGGGCCACGGTTACACTTGCGTTGGTGAATACAAAAGATACCCCACGCCTCTTTTGTTCGTCGGACAGACGGTTCCTGTTGGGAGTGTGCACAAGCTGGCAGGCAGAGCAAATACGGAACGCTGGAAGGACAATTTTAAATACTTTCGCATCGATATCTTGGAAATGCCAAGGTACGTGTCGGAGAAATAGCATGCAACCACATTATTTTATTGAAGTCATATAACAAAGATTGTTTTCTTATTTTTTTTATTTTTTTTAGTGTCCTTTTGGTTGATATACATGCGCTCTAAATGTGGCATATACCCCACATCTTCCAGCGTTATTCAAAAAGTAAAGTATACAAAAGCTAGCTCTCATTAACCATTCTTTATTCCACATGTAGATATACTCATACACAGTAGTATGTGTCACTGGTACGCATTACTTTTAAGCGTAGTCATCATGCTTGACCAAACATTTGTTCCAACGGTACACCAATGCATCATCCACGTCAAGGCCCTAAGCCACGTCATGACGGTTTCCTGAATTTCCGTATCGCTCGTGAATCGCCTACCACCCAGGTGCTTCTTCAATGGTCCGAAGAGATGGAAACCCCAAGGTGCGCAAGTCGGGGTGTAGAGAGGATGCTCCAGCTAGTACCTCCCACCTGAAAAGCGCCGCAACAATACACGCGTGCTGTTGGCTGTGTGGGGTCGGGCGTTGTCGTTTTATATTTCCGTCATGTTTTTTGTCTTCATGACATGACATTAGGACCGTGCACCTGAAAATTAAGTGGACGATGAATTTCTGATGGTGAGGCGCAAAAACTTTATAACATCACGCACTTTCACTTTTAATTATGTTTTTGACCCCTTGACCCCCCCGTTTTCTCCTCTCTACTGAAATATGAAACCACGGAACATCTTT